TGATTCAGTTATATATATATTCTCTTTAATATTCTTTTTCATTATGGTTTATTACAGAATATTGAATATAGTTCCCTCTGCTGTACAGTAGGACCTTGTTGTTCAAACTTTAATCTTTGAACACGGTCAGAATACCATGTCGTTAACATGTTACCCTATACTAACACTGTTGGAAAATGTGGTTTTCTTTTCTATCAGGTATAGTCTGAAAATGCAGCCCGTTGAGAGAGTGCACCTAGCCGTAGTTGCCTGTGGGGAAAGACTGGAAGAAACTCTAACCATGTTGAAGTCAGCACTTATCTTCAGCATCAAACCTCTTCAGTTCCATATTTTTGCTGAAGATCAACTGCATGATAGTTTTAAAGGCATAGTAAGTATTTGAGACTTAGTCAAGCCTGTATAGTTGAATATTTAATGGTATATATAGTAAAATGTTGTTGAACAAAGATATGTATTCTAGGGCTTCCCTGGTGACGCAGTGGTTGAGAATCTGCCTGCCAATGCAGGGGACACGGGTTCGAGCCCTGGTCTGGGAAAATCCCACATGCTGCGGAGCAGCTAGCCCCGTGAGCCACAGTTACTGAGCCTGGAGCCTGTGCTCTGCAACAAGAGAGGCCGCGATAGTGAGAGGCCCGCGCGCTGCGATGAAGAGTGGCCCCCACTTGCTGCAACTAGAGAAAGCCCTCGCACAGAAACATAGAGCCATACACAGCCATAAATAAATGAATAAAATTTTTTTAAAAAGCAAAATTCCTTAAAAAAAAAAAATGTATTCTGCAGCTCTGCCCTCTAAGAGTGGGGACTGTCCCCTGCTGCCACTTCCATCTGCACTTCCAGATCTAGGGTGTAAGAGGAAGACTTGTTTTTGAAAAGGAGTTAGGCTACTTAGAGTCCTTTGCCAAGCATGGAGGTTTTATTTTACTGACTATATAGTTTCAGGATGTTTTGACTGAGAAGTCCTACTTCTTAATTGTGTTCCCATCCTTGGCTTGAGAGTGCCTCAATCAGAGTGTGCACAAAGGTTTTAATTCTGTTTTGAGTGGAGGGAACTCTTAATTGACAATATGGAGGGAAGTAGCTTCTTGCTCTGGTAAGAACGTTTCTTATTTTGGTTTTGTATTAGTTACAGTCAGTTTCGCTGTAACGGCAGAAAACCCAAAATAACAGTGGCTTAAACAAGATAGAAGTTTATTTCTCTCTTATATAAAAGTAGGCAGTCTGTGGTATATGGCAGCGCTGTGTCTTCAGGGATTTTGTTTTTTTCTCTCTTGTGGCTGAGCCATCTTTAACATAAAGCTTCTACCTCATGATCCAAGATGGCTACTCAAGCTCCAGCCATCACACTCATATTCTAGCCAACATGACGGAGGAAGGAGTGAAGAAGGGGGTTCTCCTCCTCCTTTCTAAGGAAACTTTCTAGAAGTTGCACATGACATTCCTGCCAGTATCTCATTGGTTTCAACTTAGTCATGTGACCATATCTAGTTGTTTGTGTGGGTTGACAATATACCCTTTTAATCAGGACTGCCACATAACCTTAACAAAAAAAATTATTCCTGTGCAAGAAGAGGAGAACAGATAAATATAGGAGGGAGAACATATACGAAGAAGAAACTTCACCTGAAATCTCATTACCTTGTGTCCTGAGATGGTGGTGAAGATGATAATGATTATCCCCGCACCATCTCTTATCTCTCTATCTACACTCAGTTAAGCTGTCAAACTGATTTGGGTTTTTTGCTTGATCTATGTAGGAAAAGTATTCGATGTTTTTTTCAGGTTAAATTAGTTCATTTTGCATATTAAGTGAAAAACACTACTTGTGACCTCAAGTCTTTTAGATTTCTGCTAAAATCTTTGATTCCAAGAGGCTTAAAGCTTTACTTGCTATTTTACAAGGAATGAAATTAGAACATTCTCTAACACCATACACAAAAATAAACTCAAAATGGATTAAAGACCTAAATGTAAGACCAGAAACCATAAAATTCCTAGAAGAAATCATAGGCAAAACGCTCTTTGACATAAATTATAGCACTATTTTTTCGGATCTGTTTCCTAAAGCGCAAAGGAAATAAAAGCAAAAATAAACAAATGGGACCTAAGTAAACTTAAAAGCTTTTGCAAAGGAAACCATTGACAAAACGAATAGACAACCTACTGAATGAGAGAAATATTTGCAAATGATATGACTAATAAGGGGTTAATATCCAAAATACATAAACAGCTCATAACCCTCACCATCAAAAACAACAAACAACCTGATTAAAAAATGGGCAGAACTGAATAGACGGTTCTCCAAAGAGGACATGCAGATGGACAAACAAGCACATGAAGAGATGCTCAACGTTGCTCATTAATCGTCAGGGAAATGCAAATGAAAACCACAATGAGAGGGATTTCCCTGGTGGCGCAGTGGTTGAGAGTCTGCCTGCCGATGCAGGGGACGCGGGTTCGTGCCCCTGTCCAGGAAGATCCCACATGCCGTGGAGCGGCTAGGCCCGTGAGCCATGGCCGCTGAGCCTGCGCATCCGGAGCCTGTTGCTCAGCAACGGGAGAGGCCACAGCAGTGAGAGGCCCGCGTACTGCAAAAAAAAAAAAAACAAAAAACAATGAGGGCTTCCCTGGTGGAGCAGTGGTTGAGAGTCCGCCTGCTGATGCAGGGGATATGGGTTCGTGCCCTGGTCCGGGAAGATCCCACATGCCGCGGAGCGGCTGGGCCCGTGAGCCATGGCCGCTGAGCCTGCATGTCCGGAGCCTGTGCTCCGCAACGTGAGAGGCCACAACAGTGAGAGGCCTGCGTACCGCAAAAACAACACCACCAACAACAAAAAACCCACAATGAGATCTCACCTCCCACCTGTCATAATGGGTATCATCACAAAGACCACAAATAAGAAATATTAGGATGTGGAGAAAAGGGAATCCTCATATGCTGTTGGTGGGCATGTAAATTGGTGTAGACACTGTCGAAAACAGTATGGAGGTTTCTCAAAAAATTAAAAATAGAACTAACATATGACTCAGCAATCCACTCCTGGGTATATATTTGAAAAAAATAAAAACACTCATTAGAAAAGATACATGCACCCCAATGTTCATAGCAGCATTGTTTACAGTTGCTAAGATATGGAAGCAACCTAAGTGTCCATCAACAGATGAATGGATAAACAGATGGTATACACACACACACACACACACACACACACAGTGGAATACTACTCAGTCATAAAAAAGAATGAAAATTTTGCCATTTGCAGCAACATGGATGGACTTGGAGGGCATTGTGCTAAGTGAAATAAGTCAGAGAAAAACAAATGCTGTATAATATCACTTATGTGTAGAATCTACAAATTACAACAAACTAGTGAATGTAACAAAAAAGAAACAGACTCACACTTAACAGAGAACAAACTAGTGGTTACCAGTGGGGAGAGGGAAAGGAGGACAGGCAGTATAGGGGTAGGAGATTAAGAGGTACAAATTATTATGTATAAAATAAGCTACAGGATATATTTTACACCACAGTATATCCTATATATACTGTGGGAATGTAGCCAATATTTTATAATAACTATAAATGGAGTGTAACCTTTAAAAATTGTGTACCTGTACCTTACATCTGTAACTTATATAATATTGTACACCAGCTGTACTTCAATTAAAAAACAACGCAGAAAAAAAGCTTTACTTACTGTTTTAAAATATTTCTGGTATCTGTACTTGTGATATGTGCTTTTGTGATCTTAATCTTATTATCTGGATTGTTTCCTAAAATATTAACTGAGGAATTAATCTCGTCCTAACAGTTCAGAGAATAGTAAGAGATTGCTACCAACTGTGGAAACCTTTGAAAATGTAATATAAAAGTAAAATAAATTTATTGCTTCATCTTATATGCGGCTTCTGTGTTGTCTTCAAATCTGGCTGAGTTATTGCTTGTATGATATATACTATATTTTTAAACTTAGTTTTTCTTTAACTATCATGGTTAACTCTGAGACTGTTTGGTTTTGCTTTTGATGAAGGAGAATCAAATATTTTGTGGAATGTGCTTTTACTGCAGAAAAGATGATTCGATATTAGAATTTTAAGAACGACTAAGATTTCATTTTGAAGTTGGTATTGAAAGGATCTTCTTTTAAAATTATTTATTTATTTATTTACTTATTTTTAGCTGTGTCGGGTCTTAGTTGTGGCACATGGGATGTTTCGTTACGGTGCCTGGGCTCTTGGTTACAGCGTGTGGGCTTCTCTCCAGTTACAGCACGCAGGCTCAAGAGTGCGTGGGCCCTGTAGTTGTGAAGTGAAGTCCCTTGAAAGGATCTTTAAGTGATTTATAAGTCACGCAAGGAAAATAAAATACTAGTGTTTGAAACTAATTAACAGATACATCAAAACAGTGTGTTGGAAGTAAAGTTATTCCCTTAAACTGTGTTGGAAGGCATTGTTTGTGTGTGTGTGTGTGTGTGTGTGTGTGTGAGAGAGAGAGAGAGAGAGAGAGAGAGAGAGAGAAAGAGGGAGGAATTAATGTTTTTAAAAATCCCTTGAACAGGGACTTCCCTGGTGGTCCAGTGGAAGGGGATGTGGGTTCGATTCCTGGTCAGGGAACTAAGATCCCACATGCTGCGGGGCAACTAAGCCCTTGCACTGCAGCTGCTGAGCCTGCGCACCACAGCTAGAGAGCCTGCGTGCCGCAACTACAGAGCCCATGCACTCTGGAGCCCACGCGCCACAACTAGAGAGCCCACATTGTCTGGAGCCTGCGTGCCACAAATAGCTCACGCACTACAACTACTGTGCCCATTCACTTGAGCTCACACGCCACAAGTAGAGAGCCTGAGCGCCACAATGAAAGATCCTGTGTGCCGCAACTAAGACCCGATGCAACTGAAAATAAATAAATAAGATAAAACAATAAAAAATAGATATGTGTTGAGCATTTTAAAAAATTTTTTAAAAGTAAAAATTACTTGAACACAGACATAATTCAAAAAGAGATCATCTTCAGCCTGTTATATAAAATGCTTAGTTTTTTTCTTCCTGCAAAAATTGTGAATGCTCTGTAGGAAATTTAAATCAACAATTCTGTTTAAGCAGCAGTGATAGGTAATACTTAAACTGAATTTGAAGCAATTCAGTGTCTTGAATTGCACTCGGGATGCTAAAGAGTAAACGTGTTCATTATAAATTTTCAGATCAGAAAATCAGATTTTGCTTTTTGTAATGATTTTTTTAAAAATCAGCACTGGATATGTATTTATCAAAATATTTTATTACCAGGACTATTGAATCTATATAGATAAATATTTTCTAATCAGTTTTTCACATTGGTCTGACTTGGATTGTAACTATTTTCTGTTATACATACTGTGGTAATAAAATTAGTGCTTAATTTTTCTGAGTTTAACTTGTTTAGGGATTGAGAGGATTTATACATTAGGTCAAGCTGATGGAGGCGAACAGTTTGTAAGGCTCCTTCCACTTTGGTTTTGTGGTTGATATCCTTATAACTTCAATTGTCCCTCAGATCTTTACGGTGGAGTCTTTCTAGCATATTGGAATGACTTTAAGATTTTGAATGAAAACAAAATGGTGGGAAAGAAGAATCTAACTTTCTCTTAAGTGTGTATGACATACAATGTATAACATCTTAAATTTTAACTTTTGAAAAATAATCTGTTGGTTTATGATTTTGCAGAGAAAGAGAAACAAATCTAAACCGAGTTCTTTTATTTTTTATTTGTTTTTTTATTTTAGCTTAACAGCTGGTCATTTCTACAAACATTTAATTATTCATTATACCCGATAACTTTTCCAAGTGAGAATGCAGCAGAATGGAAAAAGCTCTTTAAACCGTGTGCTTCCCAGAGATTGTTCTTGCCAGTAAGTTTTTTTCTCCAGTGTTTTTTTTGTTTGTTTGCATGTTGCTGTTACACACACAAGTTAATGAAGAGTTCCATATAGATCAGTTAAATAAACACACATGTATGATTTTCCCTTTGAACATTAGAAGAAAGAAAAACTTCCCATAGAACAAATAAAAGATAGAATAAAAAAACCTCTGTTAAAAACGAAAAATGTAAATAATTTCTGTTGAAATACTATTTCTTACATTTTAATTTATTCAGTTGCTATAAACTTTCATCTCTAAGAAGGAGTTAGAGGTCATCAGGTCTTAATGGAGCCAAGTCTTTGCCAGGCGGAATGCAGTGGCAGGATCACCTGCCAGGTGCAGACTTCATTTATAATTTGGGAAATGAAGTAGATCATTAGATAATCATTTCTGTCTTAACAGCAAGCCAGTTCACCTTTTCTAGCTGATATTTTAACACAGACACAAAATTTGAGCCACGTGAACTCGAAGGGAAATGGGAACCATTTATTCAATGGGTCTGTTCTTTGGTGGTGGTCTCTGGTGATAAACCCTGATTATTTCTTTTTAATCTAAAAATATTCAGGGACTTCCCTGGTGGTCCAGTGGTTGGGACTCCAAGCTTCCACTGCAGGGGACACGGGTTTGATCTGTGGTCAGGAACTAAGATCCTGCAAGCCGCATGGTATAGCCAAAAAAGAAAAAATAAATAAAAATATTCAGAAGCCAGCTTACCTCTTCCATTTTGAATTGAATTCACTGATAGTTTTAAAATTCTCAGTAGTTGTTAGAACCACTGTAATGTTTAAAATAGTTACAGTAGTTAGAAATACTGAGTTTAAGAAGCTCACAAGTTTCTGGAAGGTGAATTACTGGGAAGAAACTTAAGTTACTTGTTATTATTAAGTGGATTAAGGCAATTCTTAGTATATTAAGAATAGAGTTTATCAAATCCAGGATGTCAGTTAAAATTTAAAATTAAGTTACATTTTGATAGCTGAGTCTGCCTAACCAGTAGCTTTATTGCTGAGCATAAAAAATCTGGATCCTAGGATATCTTTCTCATTACCTGCTTTCATTGTAAGAAGCACACAAATAAGGGATTAAAGGGGAAAAGCCTAAGAAGTTTTAGGTACTTAATGTAGGCCTTAAATTTTAAAAATTAAAAAAAAATCTTATGTTGAATCATTGCAATGTTACATCATTTACTTAATAGTTTGAGTGCCTCTATTCTACCAAGTATCTGTAATGAAGTGCTGGGTATATAGGAATGAATGAAACAGACAGATTGCTTGTTTTCATAGAGCCTGTTGTCTGATGTGGGAGGCTGACATTAAACAAGCACATTATGACATTAAATAAACACAGATATGTCACTGAAAAACAATGATGAAAGAAGCATGAGGTTACAGTCATTGCTCTTCTGTTTTATTCTGCATTATTAACAAGTTTAATTGTTGATGTCTTGATAGGAAATTTGCCAGATCATTTAATGATGTAATCTGGTTAAATTCCTAAATGGAATTTGACTACTAAAATTAAATACTTGAAGCCTGTCAAATTGTCCTCGTCCTTCACTCTTACTTAACCAGATCTAAGTAAATTGATTCTTCATTTTTCTAAGTAAAATCCTTTTTTTTAACTAAGTTTCTCCTCTAAAATAGATGGATTAAAAGAACCAATGTAAGCTCTGCCAACTCCTTGTTCCGCCAAAAGGAACCATAGAAAAATACTGACGTGGTTATTATTTAACCTTATGTGTGAACTCCAGTTGGCAGTGGCTCCCAACAGTAACCCTGGAGCTTCCTGTAGTGTCTTCCTAGATTGCTAACAATACAAAAGTCTGTAAACACACATTTGTCTCATGGTACAGAAGCAAAATGTTGATATAAAAACAATTTCCCTCACTCTTCGTCCCGCAAAAAGTGAGAGGGGAACAGACATCCACATACGTACATACCCTTTTAATTGTAGTCTTTGAACAAGTGAGCCTTCTCTACTCAGGCTCTGTAGCCAACTGTCAGATATTTTTCCCCAGCCTGATACTAAATCAGTGGGGGCATGGAGTGATTTCAGCTTCGTAACTGCTCATCTTCGTAACTGCAGGAGGAGGTAGCAGCTTTGAAAAGGAGCAGAATGAAGATCAAGCTCTTATCGTCTTTGTATTCTTAACCAAAAACCTTTAGGTTAACCTAATCATTGAGTCTTACTAATACACTGGGATAGGCAATACATTTAAATTCGCAGGAGTCACATTCTAAAGTATATGGGTAAGGCAGAAATAAAAATGTACCCTTGAAAATTCCTATAAGAGATGCATGTTGGAGGTTTAACGTCTCTCGGAAAGTGACATAGCGAGTCTTCCAAGACAAGTCTTGTCTTCGCCCTTGCTATGTGAGTGCACATTTTCTTCGATTTGTTGGGAGGTAGTAAGCTCAGAAATAAGAGGATGGGTTCTGGAGTTAGGTGGTGTGGATTTCAATTTTGGCTCTGCCATTTGCTAGCTGAGCCCAGAATGAGGTAAAGGTGCTGGCCATTAGTGTTACAGGCTGAGGGGACGAGTTGAGAAGATCTTCATTTGTACTGATTAATTTCTGTATTTACCTCAGGAAATTAAGATTCGATATGTCAGTTCACCGAAGCTAATGTTATTTTCCATTATGAAAAACATTTCCACCCTAGTCTTTGAGGCTACTGCTTTTATTTTTTCTTCCAATTTTTAGTATTGAGTTTTTGTTCTGATTTGTTTTTATAGCTTTTCTTCTCTAAAAGTTAATTAAAGAGATTAGCAGACTATCTATATATGCTCTTGTAAAAAATGACAGACTTGGGAAAAACTACTTTTAAAAATTAATGTCAATTAGTTTCTCTCTTAGGTGTTTTTTAAATAATGAAAGCCTCTTTCATGTTTTATATTAAATAGAGTTATAGTTAATGATTCAAATATCTTTCCCCACAGTTAATCCTGAAAGAAGTTGACTCACTATTGTATGTCGACACTGATATCCTTTTTTTACGGCCCGTTGATGATATTTGGTCTTTACTAAAGAAATTTAATTCCACACAAATTGCTGCAATGGCACCAGAACATGAAGAGCCTCGAATAGGCTGGTATAATCGCTTTGCCAGACATCCATACTATGGAAAAACTGGAGTGAACTCTGGAGTTATGTTGATGAACATGACCAGAATGAGAAGGAAGTATTTCAAGGTAAGTCACCGATCCAGGTTAACTTATCTCTCTTTTCCCTCCTTATTGTTTGGTTTCCAGTTTAATTTTGCTTTATTAAAAACTAGATGGAGCTATTCAGAATTTTTCCACTTACCTAGAATAATTGAAGAAAAGTGTGTTCTTAGTATTCTGTTTATTAGAGCATTACAGTAGGTCAGAGCAGACGGTGTTGCAGTGAAGTAACAGCGCAGCAAGTGTGAACATCACCTTCCTAGATTGGTATTCCAGGCAGGGGTTGCCATTTTGTAGTTGTGCAGCCTCATAATACTTGAATCTAAACTGTGGTACGTCTTGGGGGAACACAGATTGTGGTTAAGAGCTAAGAACCGTTGGCTTGGTTCAGACGCTGAGACCTTGGGTAAGTTTTGAACATCTCTGGGCTTTGATTTCCTCATCTGTGAAATGGGATGATAGATAACAGTACCTATGTCATAGGGCTTTTGTGAGGGCTAAATTAGTTAGAAGGGAGGCTAACACATAGGAAATGTTGGCTATTTTGGTGCTATTGGAAGTTAACTTAAAAAAAAAAAGTTCCTGTGTGTTTCTCATCGCTCAAATTGTGGGGTCAGTAGAAGAGTGAGGCTATTTAACTTCTCTTATTCGCATATTCTGAACACCTGAGTGTGTTGTACTGTTTACCATTTTCATGCTGATGAGTCCTTAAGTCGTAGTCTGGGGGCATTGGGGTCAAGTGGTTTAGCCTTACGTTTAGCTTTGCCACCTGTTCACCACAACCACTAGCCAACTAGTTAACTTTCAAATGTCAGTGCTCTCAGCTGAAAAATAGAGATAATAAATGGACTTATGTAGGTTGTCTATTTAAAAGAGACCCATTCAAAATGCTTAGTACAGAGCATGACACATAGTAAGCACTTCAGTGTTAGCTAAAAGCAGTGGCTTCTGAAACACTGATAGAGACTTACTGTTTATCCTTTTACATCTAGTTAGTACTAAATCAAACATCAAGGGATAGTATGTCTTTTATGGTATGAATATATATGTAATATATATGTATATTTGTATGTGTATATATATTTGTCTGGTATTTTTCTTATGGCTTCTGGTGGACCAGAATTTACACCATTACTTAATACTCCTTTCGGCATGTCTGATTTAAATCTCTTGTCCCTTCTTATCCTTGCTCTAGGCAGCAGTACTGCTTGGTAGCCTTCACCACCCACATCTCGCCATTTCATTCTTAAGACAGTTAATACCCATCACTCTTGTCTTCTGTAAAGATCTAGTAAACCTAGGGGTTTTTTTAGCTTTCCCATTTTCTGTACCTTTCTGAAATCTTGATTTCATTTCACTCTTGTCTTCCACAAATGAATGCATTAATGAGGCCAGTGTAACCTTTGCTTTTGCTTACAAGTGAACATCTTTCTTCAATTACCCAATTTTTTAATATATTTTGAGTTTTAAAATTTCATGTACCATAAAGTTTTACTAAATAAAACAGGTGTCATACCATGAGTTTTCTTACTTTTCTGATGGTTAGACTATGCACAGTAATATTATACCAGAAGATGGTGCTGTAAGATTATGTGCTAAGGAATAATGTGACTGCTCAGGAGCTCTTCATTTGAAATTCTTAGAATTATGAGAAGTGTAGTGTTGCAATAACCTTAGAGATAATTTAGTGTAACATCATTACTTGATTTTTAAGAAAATTTCAAATTGCAGTTATATAGTTCAAATCTCTGATTATTTTTTATTTACCTTTTACTTACTTAAATATCATTCTTAAACATGTTTAACAGTTTCTCCCCTTTCCCTTTTCTTTTTGTCTGTGGCATGTTCTAAACCAGCTAGAGATGTAGATATAAGAGTGGAAATAATTTCTAAAATTTCAAGCTTTTGTTTTTTTCTATGTATTAATGACTTAATGAAGAAAAATATGAGGAGTGTGATAGTACATTAATTTAGTAGGCACAATTTACTTCATACCTACTATCCCTCTGTTTCAAACAGCTCTATTCTTGCCCAGTGGGAACAACACAGATTTACTCTGTTTCTAAAATTGTATTTATGATTGCTGATATGTTTCTACAAAATTTATTGATTTTTAGTTCTGTTTTTCATATACCTTTATTTTTCCTGATTTCCAAACATACCTTTAGCAAACATTGCCTTGTTTTTTCCTACTAACTCTATAATTTCTGGCACAGATCTTAAATTTTAGAGCTCTAGTGATGTAACTGAATTACTTGTAATAACTTTTCAAACTGTTTCATGCAGATCCATGAATGTTACCCCATAGTGCCTATCACATGAAAAGCTGTAAGATTACCCACTTAGGACAGTGGCCATGGCCATGTTTTAAAGTCTTTGCTTTGCTGTCACGCAGTCCTACCATTCATGATTATTCAGTTCCAACCTGATGTATTATAATTATATATTTTAAAAATTAAAATAGTAAAATTTTAACTTTTTTGTTTTTTTTCTCATAATGCTTGATAGACATTGATATAACACTGGCTAAGATACTGCTTTGTATTTTGTATTATGATTGTATTTGCAGTGTTGAATCTCTATTAAGATATTTCTTAACCTTTTTCTATTTATTAGCTAAAAACCAGAGAATATAAATAAGGCATCTTGAGAATTTTTTTCTTGTATATTTACTGTACCCTGTTCATGTCGTGCCATATATTACTTTGTAAAGTAATTTTTGCCTGTTTTCTCCATCTGCTGAGGGCAGGGTGTATCTTTTATGCAGCTTTGTATTCAGAATATTTAGCATGGAGTCTGGCGTAAAGTAGCAACTCAGTACATAATTACTGGCAGAGGCCAGACAGAAGTTTTAGAAACTAGGCCATTAAAAAGAGAATACTTATTGTGAGGTGGCTGTGAGGGTCGTTTTTACATATTTGAAAGATGTATGTGATGGAGGGCTTTTATTGTGTTACATGTAGAGCTTAAAACAATATCAATGAACATCTTACCAAAAGGGATGGAACTTTTCAGAGATTAGGAGAGTAACTAATCTTTGGGAATTGATGAATTCTCAGTTTCTAGCATTGTTGGAACATAATAGGAATAGCCACCTGTCAGTTTTATATTTGTTTGTAACCTAAACTGATGATAATAATGAGTCTGTCTATTTTCAAAAGCATACATAGTTCTAGAAATGAAACTAATTTATCTTAATATAATGCATGTGCATTTTGGTAGGTTTGCTGAAATTAGTAAATTAGAACTACATCTTTTTAAAGAATTACAAAACTACTTCAGCTCTATCATCTCCCACCTCCTCTCCCTCCTCCAGTCAGTAACTCTTCTTGCCTGTTCACTTGATGCCGGTTCCTGTATGCCAGCTGTTGTACTGCACTACTGTACTTTTCAAGGTACTGGACTGTAAGATTAAAAATGTTTTCTTTAAAAAAAAATTTACAAAACTAAATCATGCTTATAAAAATTCAGGCAATTCATTGCATATAGAGTAAAAAGACAAGTCCCCCCTTTACACACCACTCTCCTCAGTTTCATTCCTTTGCCCAAATGGCATTATAAACTTTGCTGTGTATTCTTCAGACCCTTTAAAAAAGTATTTTGAAACAGATATACATGTACATTAGCATTTATATGTAGAATTCTTTTATATATCTTCAGTTTGCTTTTTTCACTTAGTAAATATATAAATGATTTTTATGTCAGTACATATAGCCTGTCACATTTAATATGTGTGATATTGTGGAGAAAGAATGTTTTGATTTTATTGTTTGTGTGTACTAGTATGAATATGTAGTTACATGGCTGAAAAATATCTCATGTATTTTAATTTTTACTTTCCTCACTGTACCACCAATGTGGGATGAAAATCTTTTCATACAAATTTTAGCCATTTTTGTTTCCTCCTTTGTGAATGGCTGTATGGCCATATCCTTTGACTATTTCTGTACTTTGCCATTTTTCCATTTCTGTTGACTTGAGCTCTTTTTACATATGATGCCTCTTTATTAAACTCATTTCTCATAGTTTTCATTGGTTGTCTTGGATATTCTAGGTTGTATCCTCAGCAAATAATGCTAGTGTTATTGCTTCTTGTCCAGTATTTTTCTAGTAGGACTTTTCCGTTACGTGTATTATAAAGGCCCCCCCCACCTCCCACCCCTTGATTTTTTTCTTTTTTCCCTAAAACTGCCCTGGACCTTGTAATTTTATCTTTCTTTTCTTTGAATAGATGTATTTCTTTGAATAGGTGTATTTCTGTCTCTCTATACATTTTTTTTGTTTCATAAGTAGAATCCAGTGAAGACTTGAACATTGACATGGTACAAGGGGTCCACCAGTCCTGTCTATTTAATCTGTTTCTGGTCTTGGTCCTTTTGAGCAATTCAGAAGTTTCCTTTTCAGATCCTAAGAACATTTAGTGAACATGATCTGTGACTTATTTCAGAGTCATCCTTTCAATAAAGTATTTTCTTAATATTTACTTAAGTAAAACTTGTTTCAGTCATTTTCCAGATTTATTTCCGATTGTGTATAGTTTACTGTATTTACTGCATTCTGAGAAACTTCACACAAAGGTAATACAATTATAGCAGATTATATTTAGTTTAAATACGTAGTTTTTTTCCCAGGAATTCTGACTTTTCTTTCTCAAAGTATAGATTGTTTATACCTCCATTGTGTTTGTTATATATCCTAGAATAGCTTGTAATAATGTTTTTTAAGCTATCCGTGGAGAAGAATCCGTGTTTTTTTAAACATTGTTTACAATCTGTCATGAGGCAATGCTTTTCTAAAAATAATGTAAATAAATTACTAGGAAAATATTAGACTAAAGACACATAAAATTGCTATAAAAGTTTCTAAATCTTACTCTTAATTTGTGTACTTAAATCTTGTAGAGGACGTGAAAAATTCACTGATCAGCACACTGCAAACTGTACTTTGAGGAGTACGGGTTTAAGTCTGGAGAGTTTCAGAGTCAAACTGGTATAAAAGACTTAGTATTCAACTTCACCCCAGGTTCACATGATCCCCAGCCCTCTTTCAACTCTGTTGTTTCCTTAGGTATGAGCTATGAGTAGTTCCATAGAGGCTGAAAAGGCATCTGACGAAATTCAGTATCTATTTTTGATTTATCAATTTCAAATGACCTCTTTGAAATGCCAGTTATAAAGGGTTGGCAAATCAGACTAAGAATAATAATGATCATGGTGACAATAATAGCTAACACTGTGCCAGGTACTTTTCCTAGTACTTTTTATTTATATATTAACAGGTTTGCTCCTCAGCAGCTGTATGATAGAGACATAGGTACTGTATCTAGACATATGACATAGGTACTAAAGCTATCTGCTTTTTAAGATGAGGTCACAGTCATAGTACTTAAACTACCACATACTTTTTCTTTCCCTTTCCTCCCCAACATCTGTTAGTTTTATCACTTCTTTGTGCAGCTTCAGATACCTTCTTTTGTTATCTTCTGCACTCCAGCTGGACAGTTTTACTGACATTTACGTTTACATTAGAGTCACTTGGTTTTGAAACAGAAGTTTACACTTCTGGGCTTCCCTGGTGGCGCAGTGGTTGGGAGTCTGCCTGCCGATGCAGGGGGCGCGGGTTCGTGCCCTGGTCCGGGGGGGATCCTGCGTGCCGCGGAGCGGCTGGGCCCGTGAGTCATGGCCGCTGGGCCTGCGCGTCCGGAGCCTGTGCTCCGCGGCGGGAGAGGCCACGGCAGTGAGAGGCCCGCATACCACAAAAAAAAAAAAAAAGAAAGAAAGAAAGTTTACACTTCTCCCCTTGCTCTGTAACAATTGCTAAGGGAAGAATGGGGAACTGTCATTATGCTGCCGTTTTACACCTGGAAGCCTGAGAATCTCATTAATGTATTTACCAACAGAATGATATGACCTCTGTGCGACTACGATGGGGAGATATACTTATGCCATTGCTTAAAAAATACAAACTGAACATCACATGGGGTGATCAAGATCTGTTGAATATCATATTTTTTCATAATCCAGGTAATCATTTAAATTTATTCTTTGCATTTGTAAAAAAAATCATAGTTAATATTTAGTCAGAACTGGAGAAATGCATTTATTTGATTTTGGCTTATACTAATGGCTATCACTTTTTTTTTTAAGACAGAGTAAACTAAATTTAAACTAAAATTTTGCAAAGTATTAATTCTGTGGAATTAGGGTATGTTTGCTTTTTTGTTTTGTCTCTGCCTAGAAAGCCTTTTTGTTTTTCCGTGTCAATGGAATTATCGACCAGATCATTGCATATATGGAAGCAATTGCCAAGAAGCCGAAGAAGAAGGAATCTTTATTCTTCATGGGAACAGAGGTGTTTACCATGATGATAAGCAACCAGCATTTAGAGCTATTTATGAAGCACTGAGAAATGTAAGCTTTTTTTAAAAAAATGTTTTTGTGGACATACTCGCAAGCTTACAGAGAATTTGCATATCCTTTACCCTAGTTCATCAGTTATAAACCCAGCACTCCTTCCACACCTAGCTCTGGCACTTGGCGTTCTGCTGTAAGGAAGAGCACTCCCCTTTGCCCACTTATTGATCTATACATTATCAGTGTGAACTCACTGATATGTATTTTTTTCCATGATTTATAATGCAGTATTCAATTTTATTTATATTGATGCTGAAGTTGTGCCAGATTTGGCGATCGGGAGCCCTTTTGGCTACCTCTTGTGCTCATTTGACATATTCCCATCATTATTTTGAGTACCTCCGCATTCTCTGTCCAAAGAAAATATCCCAGGCTCGTCTTGTTATACATTCCCTGCCCTCACCCTGAAATCAGCTGTCAAAGGAACTCCGATACTTATTGCTACAAGGGTGTCTTCCCTTCTAAGCCCTTTCAGCAGCAGAGCTGGGAAATACAAATATACAAACACACACAGTCATGTGCTCACACCAGTGCCTCCAGTTCCATTCCCTTAGGCCCCTTCCTTGCCTTCTCCTACTTTGTTTCTGTTTTATCTCATTTCTTCCACAATTAGAATCCTGGCTCCGAGCATAAAATATTTCCTCTTTTGCTTAGTTCTGCAGTACACTTAAACTAATTTCAAAAATGCTCCATTCATACTGCTATCTCTGCTCCTCTGTTCTTGAAAAACCAGCCTACTATAAAGGATTTGTTTCTAGTCCTCCCCCCGCCCCTCCCCTGCCCCAGACGAGGGTGTGTACTCAGTACTATGTACAGAAGTTACTTGCATCAGTTCTTTTCTCCTTCCTTCAGTGTGGTTATTCATTCTTTGGAAATACAGTTGGGTTCATGTGTTTCTGTATGCTTTCAGTTTTAAGTTTTTTCCCCTCATCTTTGTTGATTTAACTTTAGTTTGATATGAGGAATATTAATATACTTCAAAAAGTCGAAACTATATAACGGTTTACTCAGAAGTAGCGCTCCTCCCCCATCCTTCCACCCCAGGCCCCCCACCCCATCACCAATTTCATTTTCTGGTTTGTCCTTCCTGTACAGGTAAGTAGATACGTGTATGTTTTGTAATTCCCCTTTTCTTACATGAGAAGTAGCATACTGTTCATCTTTATTTGCGCTTTGCCTTTTTTACAGTATTCTGGAAATTTGGGCATTTATAAATATTTTCTTCATGCTTTTTTTCTTTAAACAGCTGTATGATATTCCGTTTTGTGCATGTACCAGAGTTTATTCAATTAATCTCTTATGTTTGAACATTTTGGTCTTTTCCAGCATTTTGAATAATAAATAACACAGCAGTGCATAACTTTGCCATACATATATATGTATTGTTGAGAGATGTTTCTTCAGGGTAAATTCCTGGACATGGGATAATTTTAATTGAAGATACCGCCTGTTTTCCCTACGTGGGGATTATTTGCATTCCCGCCAACAGTTCATGACGAGGCCTGTTACTCACAGCCTCCCTAACAGAGTGTATTACCAAGCTTGAAAAATTTTTGCCATTCTAACGAGTGAGAAATGGAATCTTAGTTTAATTTTAATTTGCCTTTCTCTTATGATTGAGATGAACATCCTTCTATATATTTAACAGCTATTTTTACATCTTTTTTATTGATAACATATTTTATATACCACATAGTTCACCCATAGTATAAATAATTCAGTGGTTTTTAGCATGTTTACAGAGTTGTACAGTCATCACCATGAGGGAGTTTCGGTCTCTACTCCCCACCTCCCCACCATTTGTTGCAAGTTCTTTGTGTATTAAAGATGTTAGTTCTTTTTCTGTGATATCTGATGTAAATTTTTTTCCCAATTTGACTGTTTATGGAATTTTTTACCATTCAAAGTTGTTTTTAAAAAATTTTATGTAATCAAATTTAAAACCTTTTTTTAAAAAAGTAGTAATTAGAAAGTCTTTCCTTACCTATACTCAGCTTATAGAAAAATTCACCTATATACTTTTTCATTTATTACATTTAGCCTCCTGCTCAATTTGGAATTTACTCTTTTGAGAGAGGAATAGGTCTAATTTGATCTTTTTCCAAATAGCTGTCTTGTCCCAACACCATTTATTTAAAAGTCTATCTGTAACCCAAAGATTTGAGATACTGACTTTATTATATACTAAAGTTCCATTTGTAATTTCTGGATTTTCTGTTCTGCTCCATTGGTCTGTCCATTTTTGTACTCTTGCACACTTTTAATTATAAAGCCTTTCTGCTGTATTTTAATATCTGATAGGGTTACTTCCTCTTCGTAGCCTGTCCTTTCAGTGTTTTCCTACCTATTGTATTTTTATTTTTCCACAAATATCAACTCATTCAATTACGTAAAAAACTTGTTTTTTTGTTGGGAGTGTATCACCTTCACATATTAACTTAGTGACTGCTGACATTTTAATGGTGTTGAGACATCTTAAGAACAAGGTCTGTCTTTCATTTGTGTCTTTCAGGAATGTTTAATAGTTTTCTTCATACTGTGGATTTTGAACATATCTTAAGTTTATCCTTAAGTATTTTATCTTCTTTGTTGCCTTTGTAAATGGGGTTTTCTCTTTTAAGCGTTTACTTTGTATTGATTTTGGGAAAAAATTATACTGGCCCCACCACCCCAGATATCTGTTCTTCTCTCTTTTTTTTTCCTTGTTCTTACGGTGCTCTTGTTTAATTCAGGTGGATTGACAGGGGGAGATGATGCATGAACCAGGTCTCTGAATATGTTGGGGACCAAGACTTGGGGCAAATCCAAATAAGGACTGGATTTATGATTTTGCTTAAGGAGCATTATATCAAGTGCTATCCATGCAGCTAATTCATTGATACCTGGGGAGAAGTGTATGTGAGCACTCATCTCTCACATGGGTGTGTTCACTGCTCTGCTAGACTGTGTCTAATCTTATGTGGACCTGAAGACAGAAACATAAATAAAATAACAGGAGTGGTTTGGTGTAAGCGTGGGGGTCAGGAGAAGAGCTGATGCCCCTGTTCGCTAGATGCTCAGTATCTGCTCGTGACTGCTCTCATTGTTTGCTAGTACAGCCTCAGTAATAGGAATGGGGATAAAGATACTGAACTGTAATCTCCTGAGACACAGATTGTACTAGGACTGTGAAAGAGTGCAAGTTTTGCCCCGAAGAGCCAGGGAAGGGTTTGTTGATGAGGCATTTGAAGTGAGCCCTGAAGAATGAGTAAGAGTTTGCCAGGTGAGCAGGCTGGGCCAAAATTGCCTGAGAAAAAGCCTCAGGGTTGTGGAAGGTCCGAGAGGAGGTCAGGCGTTGAGCTGTTTGGGGTGATGGGTGAAGGGAGGCAGCAGCAGGGCTGGGCTAGATGCGGTGATGATGTGCTGTGTAAGGTGACGGTCTGCAGTGACAAGGAGCTGAAGGTTTCTCCTGGAAATCTGAGTTTCTCAAACCTGGTGGTAGGCAAAGTGCTGACAGCATTGTAGGCTACAGTTTTAGTGTTTTTGCTAAGTTTCTTGTCCTATAAACCTGAGAGAGAAGGTTTCTGAATAATCAGTTTATCACGATACAGCTACACTCACTGAAGAATTATAAAATTTAGTGATGTTCATTTTCATGTAGCCAACCTTGTATGCCTTCAGAAATCAATATCGTATTTTAATAATGCTTTATCATGGGTTGTCAAGAGGTAATAAAAATGACAAAAGGTACATTTGGGGTTCTGAGACTTTGCAGGATAGAAAAGAAATGCACTCCTATAAAAATGTGATTTCTTTGTTGCCTTTGATCATTTAAAAAAACATTATTAAGGAATTAAATCTTACTAGTTTTATTTGATCTTTTCTGATCTTCTATAAATGTATACTTTAAAAAAATTGAGTATTGGTTTTAAGCTGATGAATTACACTTGGTTTTTAAAAAATAAATCTTATTTTAAAAACTATTTCAAATACTGAAGTAATTAAAGATTAATGTTTGTTTTGGGTCCATATTAATAGCCATATTACCCATTTTTCAACTTAATGAAGTTAATCAGTCTTTTTTGGTGCTCTTGGTTAGTGTTTTTATCTTGCCTTATCTATAATTCAGTGAGAAGTGTAATTTAAAAGAATTGCAGTTTAGACAAGGGCATTTATGCAAGTGTCAGACAGAAGCTTAGTCATAGCCATCGAATGCTGTGAACAATAAGGACGTGAACCATTTTTAAAATGTAAATGCATGGCTCTGTCTGCCAGCAAATCAGTTTTTACAGCCCACACATAGTTGTTAAATATTAGTTGCTGAGTGAATAAACATACTAAGATTAAAAATTGCAGATTTGCAATGGGAACAAAATATTTTATTGCTCTGTAAAATATTTTCTGCTTCTTGTATTTCGTTTGAATTATTAGATTTCTTGGTGTTTCTGTGTTACCTATGATTTACTTCACACCCTTCTTCTATTTGCATAAGATGCAGTAGATTTGCAGAGATGCAAGGGATTCTCGACCATTTCCCTCCTGCACAACCTTCTTGTACATAGTTGGCACTCAGCATTTGTCAGATTGAACTGCCTGCCATTCTGCCATACTTTTAAAACATGTTCTGTTTTTTGAAAATGCCTTTAATTATCTACTTGTGGTCATCATAGCCTCACTATTTATTCACTGCCTTCAACTGACAGTCTTAGATATAAAACATGACCTTCCTAAAAGTTTGTGTGCTGGGTGCGGTGCCAGTGAAGAGGGAGGGAGTGATTAACTGTGTCAGGAGAGCTTCTCAGAGGAGCTGACTTTGGACTGAGCTGGAAGGATGAGTACCAGGCAGGCAGGAATGGTGCAGACCAGTCAAACGTAGCACTCAGTATGGGAAGAGGCGCCCAGTCAGGTAAGGGCACATGTGGCCTCTGGGAAAGGGAACGTCTGGATGTGCGTTCCATGCTGCACAACTCCTGGACACTGCAGAGTCTGTGGCTGGTGGAGGGCGTGACTTCCGGCTGTGTACTACAGGTAGACATCTGGGTGATTTATCACCTTCTCCCGTAAAGGGCAAATTACTTGTGTTATATGTTGGACTAAAAGAGCTCTAATTCATGAGGCACTATTTTTATTTTGGGAAAATACTCATCAAAAGACTTTCCCAGTGAAGAAAAAAGAAATTTAACCACAAACTGGGATTTAAATCACATGAAAGTGGATGAACTGAATCTCTAGTATTCCTGGGAGTTTACTTTTAAACACCTTTGTTATGTTTTCATTTTTTGTCATTGTAGAGTAAGAAAAAGACCACAGTTTGCTCTTCCCATTATTACTCACCTCTCAGCCACAGTTGTCCAAGTATGTTGCTTATACACAGTGAAATGTTACTTGACAGTATCACTTAATACAGGTGTTAAACCTTGAAGAAGGTAAGGTAAACCTGACCTTCTTCAGCATAACCCCAGACAAATGTAGACGTGTCTGTATACAGCACAGCACAGTTTACCACTGTTAACAGAGCTGCATCTTTTAACAGAGTTTTTGAAACTGACTTGGCACAGTTGCGTTTGCTGTTTTGGATAAGCAGTGCTGTGTGGTTGTAAAGCTGTTGACTTTTTTTTTTTTTAAACATCTTTATTGGAGTATAATTGCTTTACAGTGGTGTGTTACTTTCTGCTTTATAACAAAATGAATCAGCTATACATATGCATATATCCCCATATCTCTTCCCTCTTGCACCTCCCTCCCTCCCACCCTCCCTATCCCACCCCTCTAGGTGGTCACAAAGCACGGAGCTGTTCTCCCTGTGCTATGCGGCTGCTTCCCACTAGCTATCGATTTCTTTTCGCAGCTGAGGCGGACTCCTGGCTTAGCCACCTAACTAGCATTGTAACTGGGAGGATTCTCCCCCTGCCTTAAGTTGCTTTGTAAATAGTGATGTCCTGTTACATGAAGTTGGTATGAGGCTTAAGTGCATTAATACGTATAAAGCTCTTAGAACAATGCCTGGCATGTAGGAAGGGCCCTCTTTTAACCAGTCCAGCTTTCAGCAGTCTCTCCTAGATCCCTGTGTGCTAGCTGTTGTTATTTTCGTTACGTTCTTCCCAGTTAAGCCTCTCCTCTTTTTGTTTTTTTGGGGTTTTTTTGGTTTGCAAAAATACTTCAAGATATTTATCTTCAGTATATGGAATTAGGTTTGAAAAACCACCCCAAGAGTGAAGGTTTCATGCAGTTAATGCTCATAGTTTTCTTGCACTAGAGGCACCCAGGTTTAGGATCTCTTTGCAGCTCTACACGTCCATGTTCTAAATTAGCATCTACGTTCAGCCTGTTCTCCCTAGATGGGCTGTGGCTTCCTACAGACTCACTAATTGTGATTCAAATGGTGCTTTTATTTCCTCTCCCTCAGTGGCAGCGTAGTGAACCTCAGGTCATATGCAGCCCTCCTAGATTTCAGATTCTGAATTTCCTTCAGGATTTTGCATTTTTCACTGACTTCAAACTTTTCCCGTAAAATGTTCTGTTTTCAAGCCCCATCAGCCTTTCTGACTGTAGTTGCAAATACTAAATGAAAAAATGTACCTGGTTGAAAATACTAAGCTCACAGGTTATTTGCACTTAACTATGAACAACAGTGTTTTCCAAAATATATTCCTTGGGCTATTAATATATTTTATGGTGAAAAGGGTAAAAAGTATATTTTGGAATTAGTGGGCCAAACAATACCCAACAGATGTATTTTCTGTTTTTATAGTTTTTCATGTGCCACTGTGAATCCCCCCAAGAGTGCTTGGTATTTAGCAGTTCTCAAACATCTTTATCCTTGGGATCCCTTTGTGCAGTTAGAGTTCTGTGGGAAGCACTGACCTGTGCTGTCATTTTGCATTCCTCGCGCTCTGTGCCTCCGTCTCCCTCCTTCCCAGTCCAGCCTCACCAGAGTTACCAGAGTGATTCTTGGCTCTTATTAGTCTCTCTCAGACACCTCGAGCTTTTGGTTGTCATCTCACACCTGTCAGTATCTCTGGTCTTCTCTGCCCTTGACCATGTTCTTGCCTTGGCCTGGAGTGCCCTGCCTCCATGCTCCTCTCTGAAGGGCTCTCCTCAGTACCCCCAGTGAGTTACCCGTACTCTCTCCCTCCTCCTGTGAGATCGTAGTCTGTTAAACTCATTGAAATTATTTGTTGGGCACATACTTTCTGTGAGACTTTAAACGGAGGTTGTCAATGTAAAGTTGATTGAAGAAGAAGTTGTTGGGAATAGAGTGAAATTTTTATATACATCTTTGTCTTATTTTCTTTCTCTAGTGTTCTTTTGAAGATGACAACATCCATTCTTTATTAAAGCCTTTAGAACTGGAACTACAAAAGACAGTGCATACATACTGTGGAAAAATTTACAAAATATTTATCAAACAGCTGACGAAAAGCATACAAGATCGTTATGATAGACCACCAAAGGAAAGGTGATTCTTGGTGACCGCTAGATCAAATGAATTAAAACAACAAAATATCAGAGGATGTGTGTGAAGGAATAGTCTTAGATGAAGTGTTCAGGAAAGAATTATTCATCTTCAGAATAATTTTTTTCCCGAAGAAGTTTAATGAGCAGTATTTTCATGTAATGAAGAATAAGTTGAAGTCTTGGACCCCAACAAGAAGATATTTTTGATTTCTGATGTTTTGTAATGCTATTTGCTATCATTCTAGTATTGATGAAGATATTATTGAATGGTTATAGCCTACAGACTTTGTTTGACTCTTACTCTCAAGTGGGTAAGAGCAGTAGGGATGTATGGTTGGAGAAAAATGTACCTCATACACAGTGGAAACACTCAAACTGTGAGTATAGCAATAATTTTATGTCAGCACTAACCTCACTTTAAATGTGTGAGAAAAGAAAGTTGTTTACAGGAGCAGAAAATGTTCTGTTTCTAAAGAAATGGGATGTAACTGATGTCACTATCGACAATCTGTGTGTGCCTTTATACATTTCATCTCTGTTTTAAAATATTTTTGTGACAATCATGCTTAAAATTATTATTAGTTTATAAGTAAACTGCACATTTAAAATTGAGAGGGAAGACTGAAAGTTTTGATTATTAGTCTCTGTGTGTATTTGTGAAACGTAGAATTTTCATTTGTATGTGCTTAACTGTCTTGCCAAAAGTCATATCTAAGATTATTAATTAGGTATTTTAGGAAATTTTTTATCACTTTAAATGAAAATTTTCAGCTTTACTGGGCATTCTGGACACAATAAATATACTGATAATAAAATGAGAACCTAACGAGTGTACTTATATGATGGTGGAAAATGTGAGGGACCAAAATGCATAAGCTATGTACTTCCTGTGAGCAGTCATTATAGTTACAGTGGAGCAGAAAAAAAGTGGTCCACTTAAACCTTTTTCCTTCTACCTCAAAATGGCTTTGCAAGATATTTTTGAAGAAGCAAATATACGTATAGAGCCTTACTTTAAGTTAGACAACTTTCATGGTTGATTGGCTTCAGAAGATTGTCACATCTGATTATAGAAAAACTAGTTTTGATTTGGTTTGATGTGCATGTCCTCCTTCTTTGAATATCACTTAAGACAGTTATTTTTTTTTTTTTTATCTTGGCAATAAGAAAATATTACTTCTCTTAGTGTTTTTGACCTGTCTTCTATAGCTGTAGATTCTGAGTACTTAGCATGTACTGTGCTGGGGCACACGTCTCATTTTACCAAGTACTGTATGGTTAACTTCTTTTTCTCCTTTTGACATTTTAACGCTTAAATAGAGAAGAGAAAATCATGAAGGAAGACTATCACCTTTGTGAAAATAGTGGTGATTGGGTTTATGAAGACACAGTGCCCTCTGTGGAGACGTGGAAGACGGTCCTCGGTCTTTGCAGTTCAGTCAGGGACAAATTGGGAGAGGAAGGTGTTAAGAAAGGCAGATTAGAAGCTGATGGCCAGCCCAGCACTCTTGGACAGAAGCGTTCAGAGAGCACAGTCTGTGCGTCCCTGGCAGAGCACCGTGGTGACTGTGAGAACTTGTGAACTTGTTGAAGTTGATTTGCTAAATAAAAAATGAGGTCCCTAGAATTTTGAAGTTTGGAGGGTATAGGATCATTTTTAATGGTCCCCAGGTGAGACCATTGGCGGCCTGGCTACATTAGACTCTTGTGGGGACCTTGCTGAGAATGGATTCCTGGGCCTCACCTTTGGTGACTCTGGTACCCCATGTCTAGATGGGTCTGCACATTACACAGAAGTAGAGAGAACAGTACAGTGGGACTCCTCGTCCAGATCAGACACGTCAGTATCTTACCACATTTGTGTCATCTGTCCCTTTTTCCTTTGCTGAAGTATCTTAAAATGCCAGGCATCATGTTATTTCACCTCTGTGAACACTTTGGTAACTACAGTGACATCATACCTCCTTTGGCTTCGGTTAATATCCAGTTCTTAGGCAGATTTCCCTTACTGACTACAATGTTAGAATCAGAGTGCAAAAATAAGTCACATTATGATTCTATTTGTAATAAGCACCTCAGATGATTTTGGTGTCAGTTTGGGAACCCCTGGAAATCATTTTGCCAACTTGAAGGTTGAAGGTAGGACCACAATTCTCGGCACAGTTGGTGGATTATAAATGTGATTCTGAAACATTAGCGGAAGTACTTGGGGTTATTGACACGATACAAATTTATATTAGGAAGTTGCTTAGATTTAATTTCCTTAGTGAACAGAGACTCTTAGCCCCATAGGCTCTAGTATGATTGGGACTGGGTAGAGTGTGGTCATAGTTTAACTGGACTGTGTGCTGTGGTCTCACACCTGTTGTACCTATTTACACGGTTACACACTCTACATTGTGGATCAGTTGGAAGGTTCTTCATGTGGTTTATTCAGACCTGACCTAATTGAGCGTTTTACCATAAATTGGTTTATGGCGAAAACTCTCCACTTAGGGACTGTGTTTACCTGAAAGTTAGGGTATCACAAAAAGTCCTTAACAATATTAAAATGAGTTTTCTGAGTTTATCTTTAGATAGGGTAACTTTTTCCTTGAGAAGTCTCAAGAAGTGCAGTTCTCAGCATTAATGAGGTTAAATTCTAGAACAGCTTAGAGAACGTTTTATATTTCTTTCCATAAGATGGTGTATCTATGCAGTTTATACGAATTACATTCTATATCCTTTGAGTCTATGTGTTAGAACAATTCTGACCTCAGAACTATCTCTGGGCTGCAGTATTACCAAAGCGGAATGACTTTATAATGTAGCCAGCCCTCATTTATGTGAAGTAGCCACCTCTAATTAGAGGAACTTGGAAAACCTTTAGAAAATATATATTGTGATTTACATTTTAAGAAAATACATACTTTTTTTTTTCCCTATGAAGAGTAGTTCATAATGTATACGGTAACCCACTTACCTTTGGACACTTCAGAGCCTGAAACAATACTACTGCTTACTCCCTGCTCTCTCATCTTGCCTTCAGTCAGATGTTATTGGTGTAATGGAAGGAAAACCAGACTGTGAACTAGATCTGGATTCTCTTCTTGGTTAGGGACCCGAGGCATATCATTTAACCTTCTCTGTGCCATAAGTTTGTGAACAATCAATATGCCCTTCCCACCTCGTAAGACTCAGAAGTCATGAAGTTGAGACCCAGAAGAGAGAATGGATTTGCTGCATGGCTTGTATCATGCCACACTAGCATTACTGTTGAAGTTCTGTGTTGCTCTGTTGTCTCCTGAACAGATCATTCTGTTTTAGGCTGAATGTTTTTTATCTCTGGTATGAATTTGCTTAGATTATGTAAGGAAGAATTTTTAAGGAAGAGAAAGCAAAGGAAAGAATGATGTAAAGGAATGATCAAAGGAAGAAGGAAAAGAGAGGAAGTGAGAAAAGTGAGGAAAGAGAAGGGAATAAGAGTGAGAATGGCCAAAGGCAGAGTGCAAGAAGAGAGGGGATGAGAGTGGGGAAATCGAGAAGTAGAGGTAGAGAGCGGAGGTGTGGGAACAGTCACTTTTTGAGTTGCAACACCCCAGCCTGTACCACTGTCTGCTTGCCTTCCTCTGTTTCAGTTCACGAGGCCCTCTGGGCTCAGGAATTGTGCTGGCTTTCATGGAAGGGGCAGCCAGGATACCTTTGTTTGATTTGTTGATCCTAAAGTCTTTTCCCAGTCACTCTACTCACTGATCATTTAGTGCTGTGATTCAACATTGTATTTTTTTTTTGTATTTTTTTGTTAATTGGATCCAAGTTTGTGAGCTAAGACCTGTCGAAACACGATGACAAATATCTTCCTTTTTAACATTCTTTTAGTCTTCCCAGATGCTGGATTATGCAGGACTGACCACAAAAAAAAAATAACACAGGAGGAGGGGATGGCCATATCAGATCTGAAGGGGGCCCAGGAATCTATCACAGTGGTTTTCCCAGGTGATACTGATAAGAAGCTAGATTTGGGAACCACTGCCCTGCCTTGAATGAATGGCAGCTTAAACAGTACATCACATCTCCTGATTCCTCAATAGGCATACTTCCAGTTGAAGTGTTAGGAATGGATTAAAGAGAACAGGAGGCAGCAGGAGTACATTAAATGGAAAAACCTAAAAAGAAAGTGTTCAGTGTCTTCTTTTTCAGAAGTTTATATTGTAAGTAATAAACACCTTAGTGTTAATCAGTAGTGATTTAGGGAGACCACTGATTTTTTTTTTTTTAAATAACTTTTCGTTCCTTAGAGCAAAATAGAGAAGAATTAGGGAAGCAGTATGTCAGGTGTGGGGCCAGTTATCATTTTATTAAATGTAATTTCAAGCATCTTAAACAATTGCCTTATTGAATTTTAATATTTAATAAAAGTAGATTAAATAATGATTAGTACTGTAACAGTTATCCTTTTATACATTGCCAAAGCAACCCTTTTTTGCCTGTTAAAGTCTGGCTAAACTGTCCTGGTGTTCGTCGTTTCTTAATTCATTGAACATGAAACTAGATTTTTAAAACTAAATTATATAAACGTAAGGCAGGTGTGAAAGGTGATGCAAGAATTTTTTTTAACTAAAAATGAATATGATGTTAATCCAAATATCTAGCAATTACAGAATTACGAGAACATGGAATAGCATATTGGACTAGGCAATTTAAAACTGATTACAAGTCTATGTCAAACTTCTAAATGGAAAATATCTATTGTCACCTCATCTCTACCAATTAATTCCAAATGTCTGATGGGATTGTTTCTTAAGAATTTTCTATGAACCCAGTATTCAAACAAAAGAGAACCTTTGAAAAGATACGGAGAGAAAAAGAAAGGAAAATTTCTGTCAGTTCTAATGCTGTGAATGTTATTTGGAGGGTCTGTGGTCAGACATTTTAATGCCAAACTTAAGACCTGATGTGGAGCCTCTGATTATGTGTAGTTTGCATATACAGTCTGAATTTGTGAGCATAGTCAAACACACATCATCATAGCAACTCCTTGTAAAAACTGAAGAAAAGCAACAGTGTACCTTTCATTTAAAATGTAAGTTGACTTTGACTATGATGGAAGATAGCTGTTTTCAACCTGTGTATAAAATCTCTTCAGGGAATATTGGAATGTTATGCAAAAATAATTCAGGGCTTGTAGCGTAGCTGTAAACTGTGTCATCCATTGCATCACATCCATTGTTGTCAGTATCTGAGAGCTGGGCCAGTGGCTTTTGATGGATGTTGTAACAGAAGATTTATGAAGGAGATGGTGGTTTGTACTTGTTCCCGAAGTCAGAAACTGGAAGGTGTTTCCATTTTTCACAAGCATTTTGCATAAATATGTTAATATTTTGAGTAGTAATGATTCTAAAGCTGCAGGAAGGCAGCTATGGTGTCCTGTGTTACACAGAGATTACTACTCTTAAATTGATTTTTACCTGAAAATATGACGGTTTTAGGATAATTTGGATATCTTCCTCCAAGTATTTTGTGTATCTTGACATTTATTAAAGGGAGGGTCAGTATAAGATTATAGATTGGGTTGTAACCTGAGAATAATGGAAAGTTGCCCTGTTCTGTTTTGGGGGGATTCAAATCATCTTTTTCTTGAGAAACTTTGTGTTGTTCTTACTAAATAAACATCTACTCAATAAATACCTAATTTCTTCAAGTGATGTGTCTGAATTATTCTAGCAGTCAGAAGCAATTTTGGAATCTTTAGGCTTGGGAAGCTTGATAACTAAAAGTCAGGGCAGTTCCTGGACTGACTAATTCGGCAACTGGACAACGTCATCAGAAACCTAGGTAC